AACAGACCTCTTTCTTATCCTTCAAAGAAACCCAGCCTCCTTCCCCAGCCTGGTAAATGGTGACACCCTTCATTCAGCAGCTGAAAGCCATCGCTGTCCTATTTGAATTCTACTCTCCGTCTATGGTCCTACGACCCTGACTGTACCCGATTTCATCTGAATTCTACTCTCATCTCTCCCGGTAGCGTTTATGGCATAAAGTCTACTTTATGAAGTAGACTGACACCACTTTCAAAATACATCTTGGATCTCAGTACTTCTCCACACTTCCAACGTCGACCAACTGAGCACACGATGTTTGACCCGACTATCAAAATAAACATGTCACTTCCCTCCTTAATCCCAGTGTGGCTCATTTACCAGGAGTGGTTTATATCCTACCTGACTTGTTTTAGTTATAAAAATACGGCCAACTTGAGGACTGCAGAAATCAAAATTTGGCAATTTTGAAACCCAAAGCAGCTGACATATTAATCGCGAATAAAATATACCCACTGAGCAGGGCAATGACTTTTGCCCCAACTACTAAGTGAGGACACTACCTTGGAAAAGGGTAAATGAGACATCATGGAAGAAAAAACATGTTGAAGGAAGAAAACAGAATTCTTGATGATAAATGACATCTCAATTCTAGAGTTTAATTATCTTGTAAAAAAATTATAGAAAGCTAACAGGATTATTATATGATCCTATATGAAGAAGTAGGTAGAACAATGCAGCAGAGAATATTTCAACCATGATATATAAACGGAACTAGCATGTTCTCCCAATTAGATAGCTCTCCCTTGGAATTAACTTACTGTCCTCTCGTAGTTACACCATTTACCAGAAAAACCTGTTGCTTTTGTGTGTGTGTGCAAATGATTCATCAGTTATGAAAACTTAACAAAGAAATAACAAACAAGCCCAGGCCAGTGTGGCTCAGTGGGTTGGGTATCGTCCTGCAAACTGAAAGGTCGCTGGTTCAATTCTGGGCCAGAACCCATGTGTGGGTTCTGGGCCAGGTCCTCAAGTTGGGGTGTGAGAGATATAACCAATCCATGTTTCTCTCCCTCCCTTCTCCTTTCTCTAAAAATTAATAAATATTTTTAAAAAGAAATAATGAAAGTAGGAAGGATCCCTGCTGACTTACCATCTTGGCAGACTGTCGATCTAGAGTGAACCTACCCCTGAACTCGCCACCAGGCCTCGCCGCCAGCTCAGGACACCGCTGAGCACCTTGCCACCGCGACGGCACCGCTACAAGCTCCCGCTGGGACGCATCGCCCACAACACACTCTTGTCCCTTCGTCACAGCAATGTCCTTCATTTTCCACCTCTTTAGTTCTCAGTGCCCCTCGCATTCCCCACTACAGTTTAGACGCAAATTTCATTAAACCCTTCGGATGACCCTGTCCTTGCCTGTCCTGGGGGGTCGCCAATCCACTCATTCCTCATGACCCAGCGTACGCCACCTCCTCCTTAAGGCAGAACACCAACTCGCGCACACACCCAGTATCAGATGGCGCAAAATCTTCGAGTCTTAGATATACCTGTGGCTCCTCAAACCATCGTGTCAAAGTTTGGTGACCCGACAGAACAGTCTATACCTTCAAATGATCTCCCTACAGAATCCGTATGAATGACAAAGAAATTGAACTTGAAAGGGCAGAAGAAACCTAGGGGACACCACGGGATCAAAGGTGATGGAACCAGTAACAGGACAAAGGGACATCATTTGCCACCTGACGTGAATCACCAAGGTAGACATACGACAACTGTGAAGCACTCCTGCCCAAACTGTAACTTAATCCTTCTGCTGAAGAAACAGGAGAAAATTCAAAATTTAAGATGTTCTTAAGAACTAGAAGCCATCACTGTTCAAACACACCCACGTCACCAAGACCTAACAACAAATGAGGATCTGTTGCAGATTCCACAAGACTAGAAACATGACACTTGAATTTCATACAGGATCCTTTTTCTGGGTCTTGAACGAAGGGAGAAACTGTTGTAAAGAACATGACTACACCCCTGGGCAGTGTGGCTCAGCTGGAGCACCATCCTGTAAACTGAAGGGCCACAGGTTCCGATTCCCGGTCAGGGCACATGCCTAGGTTGTGGGTTCAGCGCCCAAGTGGGGGCACATGTAACAGGCAACCGATCTGGTTCTCTCTCACCGATGTCTCTCTCCCTCTCTATTCCTCTCTCTAGAATTGACAAATATATCCATAGGCGAGGATTATTAATCATCATCATTATTAAATAATAGCATTACTAGAACATCTGCTAAAATCCGACTATGGGCTACATAGGAATGTACTATGTTTGTACTACTGATAAATTTTATAATTGATAAAATTACCAGGGTTAATGTAAAAGGATTCCGAAGCTCTTAGAAAGTGAATGCTAAAGCTTTTGGGGCTAAAGAGGCACAATATCTGCAACTTACTGACAAAGAATTCATCAAATCAGAACAAATGAGGGGAGGGCAGAGTGGGTGTGGATGAGAGAGGGAGGGAAGTAAAGTAAGAGAAAGAGAACACAATAGTTAGGGAAAAAACCCCTACTTTTCAGAGTAGTATATGGGAGTCCCCTGTATGATTCTTGAAACTCTACATCTAAAATTATTTCAAAACTAGGAAGCCAAAGAAATAAGGACTAGTAGAAAGTATTCCCAGGAAGTATACAAACCCCCCCGAATATCCTCTTATTTTGAAAAGGTCGATGTTGTCTGTCCCCGACAATCAGGGTGACTCTTGTGATAAAAGGAAACGAGGGCTAATGGTTGGTGGTTAATAAATCATCTATCATTATTTGCTCTACTTTATCCATGGCCATTTAGTGTTTAAATTAGATGTAGGTTAAAAGTAGCATTTTCACCTATCAGATTGGCTGAAATCTTAAAGGACCGATACCGCCCCTCACGTTCAACTTCTCAGGAAAATCAGCACGGCCCTCGCACAACCGATGTGCGTGGGCCTGGGAAACACTTCAAGGGCGATTTTACATCTACTGAAATCAAAGGCATGCAGAACTGGTGACTTCCAATTGCCACATTTAGAAATCTATTTTGTAGAAACAGGAGCACAAGGGCATGACTAGAATTATATACATCACAATATTATATTCAGTAGCAAAAAAGAATAAACAGCTTGCATTTCCCAAACAGAGAAATGGACGGACCCCACAGGGTAAATATACTTTACACCCCATCAAAATCCTGTAAATAAGTTATACTTATTGGTTTGAAAATACATCAAGATATTACAAACATCAAACTGCAAAATATATACCACGATGACAGCACATTTGTAAAAGAAATCTAACATAAACTCAAATAAGCTGAGTCAAGTTACTGACCACTATACCGCCAATGGTTAACTACTGTCCCCCCTAGGAACTAAAAATGGAAGATGAACAACATGGACTCCTTTAGATTGTTGAATAACCCTTCGTTCTTGGTGGCCCTGGTTCAAAGTCCTAGGTGTCAAGGAGGTCTATTGAGACAGGTTGGGCGATGCAGTTCCCTCGGGACAGTCACAACTGAAGCGTGAACTCAGGCATCTGTATTACACCCACAACAAATGAAAATCGGCACCACAGAGGAGGTAACGGTGGAATCTGTTACCTCGCATTTTTCACTACAATCCCAAAGAAAACTTCAGTGATGCCAAGAAAATGCAGGAGCCGTGGATTCTGCAAGATGGCGTCACCGGGGCGCCCAATGGCAGTATAAGGGTCTGGCTCCCCCACGACCCCAGTGGTGAGGGCGGGCACATCTAATGAGGAGACAATGGGAAGAGGTCAACTCCAAATCCTAGTCTAGAAGGACACCTCCTAGGTCCAATGAAAAGGGTACAAGCCAGTCATGTCCGGCATGTGATACTGATGCCATAAAAGGATCTTGTCTGGGACCTCGCTAACACCTGTGGGTTCATGACTCAAATAAAGAACAAAGTCTCTGAAAAATGGTACCATAATAGCACATGGGAGACACTTGGCCTGTGGAAGTCTGGCTGTTGTCTGGGATGTGACCCAGGTGTCCCTGTGCCGCATAATTCATTACCACACCCAGATCTCACTCCCATGGGTCAATTAAAACATTGATCTGAAAAACCCAGTGGCAGCAAATAAAACAATAAATGAAATCACACGCAAGGTTCAGAGCACAGAGAAGTCCTTAACAACATTCCAGGCAATTACTTGCCAAACAGCAGGTCAGTCCTATTCCTGAGAAACAAAGACACAGTCAGCTTCCCAAAGGGGGGGATCATGACAGCATCTGGGCGACGCTGTGGGTGCAGCCACTTCAGCAGGCGTCTAGGGTGCTGTCGTCCGCACGGTCACGACCTGGGAGGGGACAGAGGGAGACGCTGCAGATGGAAATACCAGGCAGGGGGTTCACTGCTCCTCGATGGGGCGGTTCCCAGGACCCTGACACTAAGTGTCTCCAAGCTACAAATCCTGGGTGCCCCAGAGCCACGTTAAATGTCCTTCCCGTCCTCGGCTCCTTTACTGTCCCGTGAACACCCCCTTTTGTATGCCTGACTACGCGCATGCCGCTCAACAAATGCATTCCTAAAGCCGCCATCTCTTCTCTCACTTTCTCTCATATTTCAGTTCGGGAGGGAAAAATAAAACGATGGCATAAAGATATGTAACTCATATGCTCTGCAAATCATGTACTACTTCACGGATATCTTTCCAAAAAAAACCCAAACCCCATTAGGATAGTATCCACCTATCTTCTCTCCCTGCCTTTCTGGAAGCTTCTTAGGCAATTAAGGCTGGCACTAAGTTTAAAAACACTTGTATTTTGACTTCTAAGTCTTGTTGACAACCAAAAGACAACTCTTAAAGTCCTGGGTTAATCTGTAACCTCAAAATAACCATATGGACTCCATGGTAGGTTTAATGAAGACACAAATAGTGTCAAGGAACACAGACAAGAACCTAATCCATCATCAATACAGCCAAGGGAGCATCTGAAATTCAGAATATAAACCTTCATGCTCTTACCTGCATTCACAATCTCTTTGGTCCTTGCTTATGGAAGATGCTTGTGAGATAAAAGAAAGAAAAAAAGGAACGCTTGAAAAATATTTGAACAATCTTCATTCCTTCATCAAATGAAAGGATATTCAGAACTGACTTCTACCCTGTCTACCCACTAATATTAGCAATACTCTAACTCATGCATCTGGACATAAAATTCAACTTTTTGTTTTCACTAGACCCATAATATTTGAAGCCAATTCTACTTCCTAATCGATGTGCTTCCTGTCCCTTCATACCCCTTTCACATTTCCCCCACCTGCCTAATTTCCCTTCTCTTCCTTTATCCATCCACCATTAATGGACTCATTCTGAAACATTTAATATTTAAATGAGTTTAAAACTGAGTGTAGAGATTACAGTCCATGTAGATAATATCATATTCTATGGTGAGAGGAGGTAAATGTAGTCCATCAAAATCTATACAATCTTATCAACACTAAATCAAAAACTAAGCGCCTTTTTATACCTATGGTATGTAATTAGCCATCCACCTACAATCTGACAACCTTATGTTTTATGGAATTCACTAGTTTTAGATTTTAAAATATTACAAACAAAATTAGATTCCACATCAAAGTGGCCAAAAATAAACAAACAGTACACCAGTGTTACTGATTATTCTTACCAGCATTTTTGAAGATAAACTCCACAGAAATGATAAACAAGACTAGAATTTGGATCTAGAAATGCCAGCATCTAAGAGGTCTCACTTCTTAAACTGGTACCACCTCAGTTAAAACTGTGAAAAATATGGAAAAATTGTGATACATATACACGACCATTAAAAAACACACAATAAAATTCACTCTTTAATCAACCTCCTAAAAATCCCAAAGTTTTCAATATTCAAAATTAGGAAAAACTGTTCTTGTGAATTCACTAGAGTTGGCTCTATCACACAAAACTGTTTTCAGCCCTGTATGGTTTCAGTTGCCACTGAGGACTTGAGAAATGAAGCCGGTTATAGTGGTAAGAACACGTAAATCATTTTATCATCACATTTTGCATTCCCAACATCATATTCTGCTTGATTCCACCAAATATCTGCAACTGCTGGTCTGATAAATAAGAAGTTCATGATATCTTGGCTGCATATTAAACCGATTCCTGTAAAATTGCGCCTCCCTAACCCTAACCCACAATAATCAGTTAACTTGATTTAACTTGTTTTCTCATTCAATTGTCTTATTGCATTACTGTATTCATGTACTACTAACACATTTTTAATTACATACAAAGTATGAACATTCAGAACCCACTGCCAACTCCTCTTCCGTTCCTACTCTACACGAAGTCCCATATCCCACTTGAATGACCGGCTTACAATATTGGTGGAATCACCACAAGTTATTAGTCACAAAATAAGGCACTGTGATGAGCCAGGCCAGGCCTTTTTTTCTCTAATTAATAGGGCGCTGAGTACTTAGAAGCCCCAAGACATGTGTATTTTCTCCTCACTTTACTGATGAGGAAACCTAGCAATAAAGTACTTATAAGGATATTATGAAGCTATAAAACAAGGTGATTTTCAACAGCAGCCACTTTAAGAACTCAAAGTTGACTACTGTAACTATATTTTGTTATTTACGTAAGATAGGGAAATGTAACATTTTCATCTTTAACATTTAAGATATCAAAATTACATTCACACCTTGTTCAAAAGCTAAATATAATCCAGACTATTTTTTAAAGATATAAGCAAGAGTGAACCAAAGTGCACCTTTCCAAAACAATGTAGTGAGAATGACTAAAGGTAACAAATGACTATGTAGTAAAACATTTTTAAAAGGAAAATTCAACATGAAAAATTAAATAAAAACCAACTATTTAGTATATACACACATGGAGACTAATTTTACAAAGGCTGAGAAAAAAATAACTCATTTAATTTCAACTTGTAAAAGTGAATTGTATTAATTGAATGTACATTTTAATCAATTGTTAGAGAAGTTAAAGTTTTGTTTCAACTTAAAATGTTTTATTCTGTTGCGTAATTGAATTACTAGTATATCAAGTTTCTTTACAATTCTGTCTATAGACTACAATATATGCATTTATACTAACCACGACTGGAGACATCATAAACAAAACAGAGCATTCATTCTATATACCCTTTTGAATTAAAAGCTTAAGCTTGAAGTTCTTACTTAATTGAAGAAATTACTCATTTTCAGTAATCTTTATTTAGAGCAAACGTGCAAGTAATGAAATAAAGATGTCATGATTTATAGATAAAAATGTCAAAACTGAGCTGATTCAATATTGTAATAAACTGGTGAGCAAAAAGATGCTTATAATAATTGATTAAAGAATAAAACGAATCTAAATGAAAAATACCACAGGAAATTGAGGAATATATTAAACACTACCACAGGGTTGCTCTCTACCGTATCCAGGACATAAAAATAAAACTGTTACAGGGCAAACAGTCTGATCTCCTCCATAAATAGAAGTCAAAGAATAAAAGTAAAAACCAAGACCATCTGCAAAATCAAACCGTAAACCAACCAAATGGAGAGTGCACGACTCTTCCAAATGCTGATTTGAATGTTAACTATTTTAAAACACGTAACACAACTAGGATTAGGAAAATATTCCACAGATGGCAATGGGTATTCTACTGAGATACACTATGAAATTATTTATGTCTTTCAGCAGCCTGCATGATTATGCTTGAAAAAGACAGGTGTTCCCAGATATTAATATGTTGATATACGCTCTGAAAAAAGTGGAAAAGAAAACTAGGTCTTGGTTTTTATCTCTTGAAAGAGAGATGGCATTCAGATTCTATTTGGGATGTATTTTAAGAAATTCCATGAGCATGGGCTCATGGAAAATTGAAAGCATGAAATTCGACATGAAAGAAAAAATTAACGTCAGTACATCAGTAGTCAGATTAGATTAAACTAAGAGATACAGATCCATAGTGAGTTTCTAGTTGCTCATGGTATCAATTGCAGAGCTCTGTACATTGGAGACTAACATGTCACTAAACACGGAATTATTTACATAAGCTGTACTTTTGTTACATCCACGTAAACTTACTCTTATGGTTTATAAAGGTTATTTACAGAGTCTGCAAATGTGTACGTAAGCATGTGTGTGAATGCATGGGGGAGAGAGGGACAGACACAAAACCTCACACTGGGTGTCACCATGAACTTACCCAAATGCACTGGAGACCCTATAGATAGTGGGGGGTAAAAATCAAGTGTAACATAAAAATTGTTACAAATGAAATTAATTTTAAAAAATCAAATGTGTAAAAACACTATTTTAATATATTTAACATAGTATACAACACATAATTTTTATATATTTAAAAACTTTATTTTTTAGACAGAAGGGAAGGAGGGTGAGAAACATCAATGTGTGGTTGCCCCCCGTATTCCCCCTACTGGGGACCCCGCCCACAACCCAGGCATGTGCCCTGACTGGGAAACGAACCAGCGACCTTCTGGTGTGCAGGCTAGTGCTCAATCCACTGAGCCACACCAGGCAGGGCTATGTTGAAAAATATTAAAACAGCAAAGAAAATGTCCTCTAAAAGAGATTAAGAGGTTTATGAGTGGGAATAAATTAGCAGAGACGGCTGAGGCCTAGATAAAAACGGCCTGGATGAGTATGAATGGTAAAAACTCAGGCACAGATTGCTTCAAACTGTTATCTTTGGGACAGCTGAAAATTTTTATCAGGACTTATTTTAAAAGAAACTAAGAGATTCTTGCTAACAGTAGGAATATGGTAAAGCAGTTATTTAAATATATGATCTGTACACAAATTTAGAATTGAAATACACTGGTGGCGAATTTACAGTATATGGCAAAATATTGGTATTTTCTGTAAGTATAAAACTTTTCATACGTTATGTAAAAGAATAGAGCCTGATTTTCTTAACCATTGTCACCCCAAAATTTAAGTTTTAAAAATGAGTAAGTTAAACATGGAACTATGGCTCCTTGCATTTTTACTCCCATATATCTACCCAATGGGTATGAAAACAGGGAATCAGACATTTATCTACCAATATTCACAACAGCATCACTCACAATTTGGACACACAGCTGTACTATTCACCAAAGAAAAGTGTTCATCGACAGGTAAACTTTGGCACATGCATACGATGGGATATTATTCAGCCCTGAAAAATGGAGTTCTGATCAGTATCTTGCTAAGTACCAATCCCCAAGAGGAACCAGGCACCCGCCGGGAAATGGCTGGTGTCAAACGGAAGTCAGGTAAAATGAACTTGGACACTCTGTGGCCAAAAGTTCAGGAAAGGATGGGGCAGAAGCCATGTGAGAGGCTTGAATGGTCCAATTTAGGACCATTTGAGAATAGAAAGTAATGAATTTTATCCCCCGGTAAAGGAAATATCCCTGAGGCCCTGACCAGGTAGCTCAACTGGTTCCAGCATTGTCCCCATACGTCAAGGTTGTGAATTCAACCCTCAGTCAGGGCACATACAGCAATCAACCAATCCATGTATGAATAAGTGGAACAAAAATGGTTTCTCTCTCTCAAATATAAATTAATACAAAACTTTATAAAAATCTTTCAGGCCAAATGGAAATAATTGAAAAATTAAATGGGGGAGAAGGAACATCATAAAAAATTTTAGTTACGAAAATGTAGGTATGAACTCCTTTTGAAAAATCACAATTTGGGCCCTGGCTGGTACAGCTCAGTGGATTGCGTGCCAACCTGGGAACTGAAGGGTCCCAGTTCCATTCACGATCGGGGCACAGGCCTGGGTTGCACGCCAGGTCCCCAGTAGGGCGCATGCGAGAGGCAACCATACATTGATGCTTAATTCTCCTTCCCTCCCTTCCCTTGTTTAAAAATTAATCAGTAAAATCTTTTAAAAAATAACAATTTGGCAAATACCAGTGTATTATTTCAGTCAAGAAAGAGCAAGGCTGAAATAATAAAGGGCATTCGCTGTGTCTTCCCTCCAAGTACGTCACTAGTCCCCTGTTATGTGCCCCTAGCAATGAACTGAAAAGGGAACATTTCTGCCGAAGCTCTGTCAACAATAGACAACCTTAATCTCAATGACAAAATCATCAGGCAAATCCACACTGAGGGACATTAATGGTCAAATCTTTTATTCTAACCAAGTGTCAAGCTCATGAAAATCAAAGTGGGCAAACTGTCTTAAATCAAAAGATTAATGAGATTGTAACAACTACACGCAATGTGGAATCCAAATGTAAATTCTGTCCCTATCCAAGGTGTGGTCAAGAACAGTACATCGTTAGTAATTTCCTGGTTTCGTTATTGTAACAGAGTAAGGTTGGAGAAAAATGTATTTTTTAAACTATACTGATTTACAACTTTTCAAATTTCAAAAAATTAAATAAATGCTTGACTTTTTTCCAGCATGTACTGAAGACTTAAAATCTTCAACAGTGAGAGTAAACCAGGTACAACACCACAAAACTGTCAAAGACTGTTCGTTAGAATTGCCTTTTCAGAAATTGCAAATAAAATTTTAACAATTATAATAGTCTGTATACACACAATTTAGTCAAGTTATTATATAACCTAAAAAGTAATTGTAACTACAAACACAATCAATGGAAATACATCAAAGCCATTTTATTAAACCTATCAATAAACTTGGTTAAAAATCTACAATAAGAACCTCCCTAAAATAATCCGTCTAAGTACATTAAAACAACATTATCAAATAACCAAGGGCACTCCATACATTTTCTGGAAATACCTACATTGTTTTTTGAATTTTACTGAAATACCAGAGAAGTATATAAAAAGGGCTTTCATCAGTATAAAAACAAACTAGATGTATAATCCCCATCAGTACAAAACTGAAATGCCTGAACATAATAAAACCCATAGTAGCAGGATCCCAACATAAAAATTTGATTAAAAAAAGACATACCTGTTGTTGTATAAGAAGGCTCACTTTTAAAGAGATTTACTGTCTCCTAATTAATCTATTACATTGGTGCAAATGAAATAAAACTGCATATTTTCCAACTTGCAAAATAATTCTAACCAGCAACTGAGAGGAAAAAGTGCGGTTATAGACAGGTAATGTTCTGAAAAAGAAGAGAAATGAGACAGAACTCAATGGACTAGGTAAGAACTGACAAGCATCCATAATTTTGAAGTATTAATAGAAGATAAGAAATTAGAAAGTCAGCAATCTAAGAGGGGGGATTTCTGTAGGATAGAGTAGGTTTTGAAACAAGTGGTTAACTGCTTAGATCACAGTGAATACTTCGTGTATGTAATGCTTTCAAACTGTAGCAATGATTCATGGAAAAAGAAAAAATGAAAAAATAACAAAAATAGAAGGAAATACAGACAAAAATGTGTAATACTAAATGTAAACATGTTTTTAAAGAAAAACACAAACACAAAAGGCATAAAACAGAATGATTATATTTGAATACACACTTCTTTACAACCAAAAAATAAAACAGCACAGTAAAATAACAAAAACATGGTATTTCATTTGCAATGCATGCAGTATGGTTAACATTTTAGTCATAAATGAGCTCTTAAGAAACCAGTTACAAAGACACTAATTATCCAAGGAAACTGGAAAAATCGAAAAAGAAATAATACAAATGACAATTAAGAACAAAGAATATGATGACTGAGCTGAACAATGACAAAAGAATAATTTCTCTGTAGTTTCACACCGTCAAAGAACAAAAATGCTGTGTTGTATAGTCTGAACTCTCATAAACACTGACAAATTGATGAGCAGCATTTATATTTAGGTAGAAACTACTGTTTTGATTCAAAATGTAAATTTTTGATATCCTTAGCCCCAACATTTCTAATTAATTAAAATTATTTCAACAAATTAGTTTGAACAAATTCAAAATGAGTTATACAACAGCGAGTTTACTGCATAAGGAGTATGTAGAGAGCATCTGGGCCCCCAAACACTACTTAACTATCAATTTACTCAACACAACCCAAAAGGATGTGCGCACACTCCATTAATAGGTAACAGCATAGGGAATACAGTCAAAACACTCTAAGCACTGCGTATGGTGCCAGGTGGGAACTTGAAGTAAGCGGTGAACACTTTGAAGTAGATGACTATCTAATCACTGTGCTGGACACCTAAATCGGATATATACTAGTACTACGTGTCCAATATAATTGAAAAATAAAGAGACAATCTATACTAGGTAGTAAAATAAAAAGGAAAACAAAGGCACTTGAAGGAAAACTATTGAGTATATAATGAACAACTACCTATGTCCTAAAATCACAATAAGATGACTTTTAAGGAATACATTTCAGATCCGCCCTGCGGTGCGTGGAGTCAGACACACGCACTCAGCGCTCCCGGGAACATGGGGCCCCGCCTCGGCATGTCCCAGGCCTCCCGGGAGTGATGGCTCCCTTTGCTCCATCTCCGGGGACTCAGTCCAACAGCAACAATGGAAACGGTCAACATGCCTCTTACAAGTCTCCACGACACCCTTCAGGGCACTTTCCAACATGAGCTTTCTCAGTCCCATGTTCTCATCTGCAGGGAGCATCCCTGGCAACACACAAAAGCGGCGTCTCCGACACATGATGAAGATTGTCTTTTGGGTCTGAAGACGGTGGCAGAAGCAAGGGCACCGGCTCCTGTTCGGTCACCCCCTGCATGGGCACAATGGGGAAAGCGGGAACAGGTCAGAGACGTGGCTCATCAGACCAGCAGCACACATAATACAATTCACTGTGCAGTGCAATGGGATGATCATTCTATTAGGAATAGGTAGCACGTGAGTCAAACCTAAATGAAAGAACAAGGGATTCCGAGAAAAATGGCTGGTCTCATACCATGAACGAGAAAAAGAACGAAGTGAATCTGCACCATGTAGGCATTCAGATGACTGCATCCCTGACACGGGTTGGCCACAGGACACGGGTGGCCACAGGACATAGCAGCAGTAACACTGCGTGCCTTCTGAAGCGAGGTCAGAAAGCCATGCCACCGTCACAGGCACGAACACTCAGGTCTATGGCGCACCTTCTGGAAATCTAGCTGTGGGGGCGCTCTCGTGGAAGCCTCAGCTGCTCCCACCCCCCAGTCCCCGGCCCCTCATGCCTACCATGGGCACGGCCAGCCTCTGGCTGCTTGAACCTCTCTCTTTCACGGGGTCTTCCCACATGTTCCCACAGATATTCCAGTCCTGTCTGAAAGGCTTGGCTGCACCATCAGGGGAAAAATACACCAATGTTTTAAGCCACTAAAGTTTCAGGGTTACACATTACGTAGGAGGAACTAACCTGAACAGATCTCAAAACCCACCAGCTGCCACAGAAACTCATTAAGCTTAAAAAAAAAAAATAAAAAGCAGAATACCAGCTCTGCCTCCGGCAGCGGCCTGCCCTGCGTCAAAGGAGCGGTCATCCACCCTCAGGCCTACTGGTCCTGGGCTCTCAGGCAGGCGTGCAGCGCACAGCAATGAGGAGCACTCCACAGGGTGGTGGCGCCAATTCTTGGGACTAATAACAAGGACAGCAAAAAAGTGTAGATTCCTGGAACTATCCGTTCCTGCCAGGGAAAAAGGACATTGCACAGTAAGAAATGAACCATTCTCGTGAGAAAGCTGAGGCAGCAGGTCAGGCAGGACCTGACTACTTTGCAATATCAGCTCCTTTATCACGCTACAAAATTGGAATCACAAAATTACGATTTACCGTTTCTTTCAGAACACTAGTTGAGTTGCCAGGTTTCGTCATAAATAAGGCAATTAACTGAAGTAAGAAACATATTCTCCTATATTCTGCATATACTCTGTGTGTTTCCTTTGGAAAAATCTCAATTATAAATAATTTCCTCATTAATTCTCCAGCATGGTTGAAACGCCAGTGTGTCCAAGAACAACAAAGAGACAGCCATTTTCTCTTTCTTGAGCCTAGCTGTATGTCATCCTGAAACAGTATTTCCTAATCCAGAAAGTTCTTACCTGTGGTTCAGTTGAAATTTAAAGGAACTTCACAGAAAGGCAGATGTTCCTGATGATGTTAGCTGTCCTCTCGTTATCTGCATATACGTTTCTCTTCCATCATGTTCACCTGAGAAGTATACAAGGTTAGATACAAATGAGATACCAAGACAAACATGGGTAAATTTACATAGGGAATGAAAAGAATGAAATATCGGCAAAGACAACTGCCCAAAGCGAACTTTTCTCTTTCGCCTTTTCAGAGCACCTTTAGCACAAACGAAGAGAATACTGAAATGTTTTTGTGCTAATCCTGAATAATCTAAAACCATAAACCCTACTTCAAATCCTTTCCCCGGAATCAACTACCCTGAAAGGGAGAACATAACCCATCCTGCAAATACTCTCATTAGGTAAGAGTAGCTCCCAGCATATCCTAGGACACCTATCAGAAATACTAAACATGGAACTGCCTGCCTTATGGAAATTAGCCCTTAGAGAAACTTTCCGTGGCTGGGAGTCACCTTCGGTCTGCTCCTCAAATGGACGTCTGTGGCTCGTACCTCCAATGCCGTCCTCTCCTCCTCCTCTCCTTGGATGATCGGTTCTCTGTGTGACACTGTACAGCCGCTGCTGCACTCGTCCGAGTCACGTGCTCTTCTTCATCTCTCAAACCCGCCATACATGGCCAGTGGGAACATAAGGCCGGACGCCGTTGCCCAATATTCCCAAGATATTTATAGGCAAGATTGAAGAGGCACAAGTTGGTTGTATCGTTACAATTCCTTGTTGGTTAAATGTTCAGTTCGAAATGCCTTTTAAATTTTAAATGCAGAAAGTAAAAGCAGTCCTCCTTTTCCCATCTCTCCATGCATTTAAATTTTGCCATATTCCTCCAGACACCTTTCTCTTCCATAATTCTTAACAGTCATTTTAGATTGTCGTGTAGCAATATACAAATATATGGATTAAACAATGCCTCACTGTTTAACTAGCACGTGTACAGAAATGTCAAAAAGGCGGCCCAAACAATTACCATTGTAGCCACAGTGATGATGAAGGCTCCTTACTCAACTCTCATCATAACAGGACAATCCCGTTCCCCCGTGGGCAGAACGGGAGGCGGGTGGACACACCGCTGTCCACGCGCAATCGATTACTCAATCTTTGTTCAAAAATGACAATTTTAAGTATCAAAATATTTCCACTTAAGACTGTTTTGTCCACGTTTAAATTATACTAATGATTTGTAAGCTGTACTCGTTACCACCTCTCCTTTAGTGATGTGTGTTTCAGCTGGTCAACGTCCCACTCCCTCCTTAACATTCTTCTTCGTATTTCTGAGTTGGGATAGATAAACTCACAGCAGTGACTTACATCATTTCTCACGTTTTACACATTCAATTTTGATTGTCATTACCAAACTGCTGTTCAAAAAGATATTTATACTTTGATCAATACTGGATAGGACCATCTTTCTTAAGAAAGCTTCATAATTTACACAATAGGCAACTGAGATACACCATTTTTTGGCATTTATCACATAACATTCAAAAATACCAATTCATCAAAAAACTTTAAAAAGTTCTCAGAGAATATTAAAAATATTCACAGAGGAATTCTCTCATACAGATGCATATATATGAAAACAGGTTAAAAATAAGATATGAAGCTGCTTATACTTATATAAAAACTAACATATATTTAAATGTAACATGAAGCAGGTTTCTAGAAATGCTTAAGCTAAGAATACTATTTCCATAATTTTCAAGAGAAGAAAATGAAAATCAGTAAGCTAAATAAATGAGCAAAAAAAGAACATCATCTTATCTATACTCCTAAAATGTTTGTATATGCATTACTACATATGGCTATGTGGATACATACATTTGCAAAGAGATTTATCTAGCATAGCAAAGTAAGAATTACTTCAGCAATGTTATCTTTAACCTCTGAATAGATCGCTCAGTATGTCTGAATGTGACAAAGTGACAATTCCCTTCTGAAGTCTTTTTCTTTGTACTAGAAACACATCCCAGGTGTATTTTCTGTGGTAAGTATACACTCTAATCTTTTCTTATACATGAGAACCTAACAACATGAACATATGGGGATAACCTGTTACCCCCTCTCGCAAAACCTCACCCAGAAACCCCAGAATGGTCACCCAGCCCTAGGGGGCGGAGCGTTACCCACCACCCACCACATTGCTGAAATAGTAGAGAAGCCAACTACGATAGGTTGCAATGAAATATTTACAAAATTTTGCGAAACTCCCAGCATCTAGAAAAACTAGATGTTTAAATTGATATATGTACCTGTTATTTACAAAGTTGTCTTGAATGTAGTCATGCAGCCCAATTTAAAATACAAAATTGTACAATTCAAAAAGGTAGAACAGAGGTTCATATAAAACACATCTCCTATGATTAAAATACATAATGCCCTATTAGCAATACAAATACAAAAGTATGATGTTGGCTTTTAACATGTAATAATACAAGCACTAAACAAACACTGGCTTAAACGTAGCATTTTCTCTCCAGCGAGAAGTCGGAAGTGAAGGCGCCGTCCGCCTGCCCTTTCCTCCCCGACCCCCCCCAACAGTCCCAGGCCCGTGCCCAGCTCTAGAAACCCACCACTCCAGCCACGTCCGTGTGAACGCGTTCCTAACACGTATCACCATGAGGTTTTACAATGGATTATTTACAAAATTATACTCTGTGAGACTCTGTACACGTGAAAAGACTAGATGTTAAAACGTAAAAAACGTGTATCTGCCTGTTATTTACAAAGTTGTCTTGAATATTGTCATGCAGCCAAGGGAACACATACAGAACTGTGTATAGTTCCAAGAGGTAGTATAAAATTCACTTAATGAAGTCATTAGTATCTTGAATGTTAAAATAAGAGAAAAAACACAGAAAAATGAGTAGGCAGAGTACAAAGGACTTTTAGGGCAATGAGAACACTCTGTAGACCTTACTAACGGATGAGTGTCATTATGCAGGTATCTAACCCCATGGAATGTACACCACAAAACCGAACCTCTAATGCAAACGATGGACTCCGGGTGACTGTGACGTTGCGCTTTAGGGTTATCGGCTGTCACAACTGCCCCCTCTGACGGGGATGTTAGCAGTAGGCATCGCTCCCCGAGGTTCGGGGCGATGGCAAGGAGGGTTATGCATGTGTGTAGGGAAGGGAAGCCTTCGTGCCTTCCCCTCAATATTGCTGTGAATTTAAAACTGCTTTTCAAAAGTATTAATACAAATTATATAAGAGAAACATCAGGAGATTTGGTACATCCAAAAACACCAAATATATTCACATGGTATTTCAAAATAATTCGTCCGTGTTAGAATGTCAAACTATTCTTCGAGAATGGGGTAAAATGCATTATCTTGTCCATTTCTCCTCTTTAACAACCAAATTAATGTATTAATTTTTCAAAGCTCCAAGAGTCTCTTAACCAATGATTAATTGCCATGGTGTTTTTAAAAAACAATGGTAACAAATTTACAGTAAAATATTTACAGGATTATACTTTGTGAGACTCTCAATACATCCAGATATTTCATTTGTCCAGTATTTACAAAGTTGTCTTGGTTATTGCTATGTAACAAATGAACACAGAACCATGTATTTTAGATAATCTGTAAATTGCAAATTGATTTCCATCATAAACTTCAGTATATCTGGGAAAATAACTATCATAAATGTGTCCCTGAAATAGAGGTATTTTTATATAAAATGGACAATTTATACAAAATCAATGTAATGATTACTATCTAATTGTTCTTCTAAGTAACAACGTGAGGTAAAAATACTTTCAATGCTTTATATCCCACATGAGTGAAATCATACAGTTCTCAGCTTGTTCTGACTGACTTATTTCACTTAGCACGATATTCTCAGGGCCCCCCGTGTTGTAGGGAAGGAGGTCAGGGGCCAGTAAAGGGGAAGGGGACCCGATTAGCGTGACAAAAGATGGCCTGCCTTCGGGCAGTGGGCACAGGGAGCTATGTAGAGGTGATGTATCCCAGAAATGCACCCTTGAAGCCTGTATGATCTTATTAACGAGTGTTACCCCAATAAAGTTAATTGAAAATACTTTCAAAGCTTAATCTATCTCTTCCCTAACATGACAATGATTTTCTACTACTTTGTCTTTAATAGTCTCAGTAATCCAATTAAAACTACATTAAGGGGAATGATATCCTGGGAAAACTATCCTCTCCCATCCTTTTTCCAACATCCTATGTATTTGCAAAGCCCAATTGACCTAAAGCAATTATTATAAACACAGCTGTTTAGCAAACCCAAAGAGACACCTAGGTAAGAGTTCTTAGAACTATCTGCAGAAGTATTTCAGCCTTACAGTGTAACAGTGCCATGACCGCGACATACACATGTGCGCTATCAATAGCCATCAGAGTAGAAGCAAGGAAAAAAGAGTAATCCCCCAGCGATGCTATGAGACAACATCCACTGCCCTTGTCCGGAACCCTTTACCCACTCAACGTTAAGGACAAAAGTCCAACTACATTAATAGTTCCTGATACTGCAAAGTGCACCAGCAATGAACACGTGTTTTAAAGATGAATACCGTGCAGTCTAAAGATCACAGCAGACCGGATTTGTGTACCATGTCACCAGGCAAAAACGGCATATGTGCTCTACTTTTAGGTGAAATATATTCTAAAATGACAAAAATTTCTGCATATCTACAAAGTTATGTGGTATAGAAACAAAGATCTGATCAGATTAATCATCTCCCTTCACAATATCCAACATCAATATATTTACTCTCTGCGTGTGTGCGTGTGTGCGTGTGTGCCCGCGCAAGCGCAGGACAAGAGGGCATTGTTACATACCTAGGAAGTTCCATGTTCTCAGAAGCTTGTCTACTATACATACAGCAGTCAAGTACTTCCCTGCTCGGTCCCAACATTTAACATTCAAAAATTAGATTGGAAGAAAATTTATACATGTTTACATAGTTTAAAATATAAATGGTATGATTTATACACTTCAATAAAGAATGTCTAATGAAAAGAAAAAACAGAATACAAGTCTTCTAAAGCAAGCCTAACTCATGAAGATGCACACTCCATAGACAAAAACAGGGACTCTACATTCAACAATTCAATGAACATATACTTCTAAAATTATTGATAGTAATTCTATGTACCAAACTGTTTTAGAAAACATTCAGCTTCTATGTACAAAGCAAAGAAATAATACAATCATCCTTAACCAAATACATCCCAAATAGACATAGTATAGCAATTCAATTTGCAAAAGAGGTTTTTCAATTTGTCAGTTTGGTAGCGAGAAAATATATGCCTATCAGCAAATCCTATGCAGATGTTATAAAACAAAGACATTTGTCCACTATGTAAATTAGCTAGCAGCCTCACAGTACCTTCCAACAAGTCTCTATCCTGACTTTTAATGATCAGTTCTATACACTCATATACACATATGTACATGTACGTATATGTGTACACATGTATACACATATGAATATGTAAACAATCCTTATATTTCAAGGACTAAAAGTTTAAAGCAAAAACTTATGTATTCTAACTATTTTATATACAGTGATCTAAAAAATACCCCTTTCAGCTGCCCAATTATTTATTCAGAGATAATATGACAACCACTAGGGAAAGTTTGCACTTTATATATAATAAATATACCTATAAAACATGCAAATATAGTAGCTCCTATTCTTTAAAAACATAATACTGTGTCTATTATATACATATAATACAAAAACATTCTTTTGTCAGCCCACATATAATGAACTTGGGTTTGATATACCATTGCTAATGTCCCCGTAAAACATATAAATCACCTATACAACTAGAAATAAGTACTTTAAAACAAGAAAAAAATCACTAATATCTCTAAAAGTCAAGTTGCCTTGGCAAGGGAAAACTTTTCTAATGAAGGCTACTTTACCCCATGTGGAGATTTCTCTAAGCTGTGCCACGAACTGTGTTCTGTGTGTGTACAACTGGAAAGCCATGAACAAAGGCCAACCTGTAGTTGCAATGACACCCCCAAAGTTAGGAATCGGGTCATCAAAACCAAATGATACTAGATACTCCACATTGTATTTATCGCAACTTGAACATAGAGCCTAATGATCGAAAGAACACAGGGAGAGGCTAAGTCTAACATCTTTGGCAAACAAAAAAGCTTCTATCCTAGTGAGTTGATACATATTTATATTACATTTACAATGATATATACACATGTAGAAAACTATCAAAACAAAAATATTCAACATTTGTAACACTGTTTATAACTAAATGTATAGCAGTATGTTCCAGACATAAATTAATGTTGAAAGTCTACCTATTTAACATTAGAACATTTACAAAATATATGTAGATTCCCAACATCTGATGATGGAGTCACGCCCCAAATGTCAGCCAACTGTATGCTTGATAAGATGATGTAGCAACACTTTTTCTATTATTTAAAGGGTAATAAAGCCTACACAGCTCTGCACACCCATTATCAAGCATAGAGCAGCCACTCCATCACTCCATACACATTTTTACAGAAACATCATTTACATAGTAACATCTACATCCCCGCAGAGCAGCCTTATTAAAATGTCCACGTGACAGCTGTATACGGAAAAATCCCCCGTCCCCAAAACCCCTCAGCAATAACCCATTCAATGATTTTAAATGCACATCATTCAGAGGTATTCTGACAGTTCTATTTTTATAATCATGTATTAAAATATTTCTTCTATATATCTTACCAAACTCTTTGTTAACAATTACATCAGGAAAAGTCACAAAGCAATTGTATTTGGCTTTTTTCATGCACATTATTCTCGATATGCACACAATACCTAGTGCCTCATTTTTTTTCCTGATTAATGTGTTAAGAACACCATTCCTTTTCCGTTATCCCTGAGCACACAATGAATACAGAATTGTGTATATCTTTACAAACGTCCTCAAAATTTTTGTCTAAAATATTTTCCAGAAGACAATTTCATCAAACATGTTATTAGAAACTTCCTAGGAAACCAGCTCTAATATCATAACCACCATTTAAAAGGTTATCTAAAATAATAGATTTGTTTATAAATGTAGGCCTCTGTGCTTGAGTATTACATTCCCAATAAAAGTTTAACAGAATAAAATACAATGAAAACTATTACGTGTTGAATTTCATTCTCTTCATCTTCAAATATCAATGACAGTTCATATACATTCATTATTCACTGAGTATTTTATATTTACATTTTAATACCATTACCTACACACAAGCTTTATGTGTCCAATAAAGTAATTAGCGGGATTAGATTTTGGGCTGTCTTAAAAATGCTTTGGAATTAAAAAATGAAGATCTCAGTATTTTATACATGCATACAAATGTCACAAATGCATGGCTTTTAATGGTAAACCTTACGAAGGTGAGTTGATACTGCATGACAAAAAAAAAATGCTTTTTGTCCAAATCCAAAGATGTCCAAGGAAATGTAAACATTTGAAAGGCAGGATGAAGTTCAAAAGAGTATAAATCTACATTTATTTTGTCTTTGTTTTTGTAGCTGGTAAAGCTTCTAGTTCAACTCAAATGTGCTGTCCTTCCCTTTTCCCCAGATTCCTGCAGGGCTGGCTTATGGCTACTGGATACTGTCTGGAACAGCCCAAGAATACAAGTTTTCTCCGCTTGAAATAAATTTCAGTTCAATCATCGCCCTTCACACACTTGCATTTTGGGGAGCAACAGAGAGGCTGTCCTGATGCTGTTGGGCCAGGCACAGATGCAGGCCAGAGCCACAGAGTCACTCCTGATCTGGCCAAAGACCCCTAAAAGCAGCATAAGGTCGAGACTCCCACAGCTGTCCAGGGACAGAACAGTTCAGGGGTCTCCAGAACTTGACACGGAACGGTTACCAATGCAGGAACAGTCCCTCGGGCTGTGATCTCCTGCTCGTCTACGTTCATGGATAAGAACTTTTCAGAGAACCTGTACATCGTCCTGGGCTGCAGTCACATTGATTCCTTGCTGTACGCACTTCAGGAGATTCTTACAGACCAGAAGGTGAAGAGTGAAGGAATATCATCACAGGTTTTAAGAATCCAAATGTTCAGAAACTGCAAGTGGAAAGTTTCCCATTTCGACAGTGGCAAAAGATGCTCTAAATATTACCAGTTTACATAGTCTTTGCTCTCTTCTGATTATTGCTTATTTCTAACACTGCTGAAACACGATGTGGTTCGTCACCTCTCCCAAAGACTTCTCTGGCAGACAGACGAAAGACAGAATCTGAAGACAAAAAGAAGTAAGGCGACCGGCTGGAAGTTCGAATACAGTTTAAAGATGTCCAAACTCTCAACTAGGAAGGTAGCGCCACCCAATGAAGTCTGAGCAGCATCCGCCATGCAATCTGCGCTCAAGGTTTGGGGGTGAAACCCCTGTCCACCTTTCTTAGGCTCCATCTGTGTCCACCAATGACAGCCACCTCCTTGCCTCCTAGTTGGCATCTCCTTTTTACATTTCTATAAAAGTCACAGTCAAATACACAATGACTTTGAAATGATGTTTATAGGTGACATTGAGATATTTCACATGTGGATATGATTTTGTCATTTTAAAAACTGTTCAAAGTCTTCTTTTAGAGGGAGTTGTAAAAGTTGTTTATGTACATTACAAAAACCAAGGAAAAAATAATCTATGTAATTTTACCAACCTAAATAATGATAGATACACTTCCATATTTTTTATGTGGCCAAGTAACCCTTTACCTACTAACAAGTAAACTGTTTGTGTACTTCTCGCTAACAATGAACTCTTCATCTCTAAGAGGTTTTCACATGAAATTTCTTCAGATGAGCACAGGCTTGTCTTTTTTAAACGTTAAGTTTACTCTCCAGTGAGCTAGACTGAACAGATGGATGTGTACAATAAAGCAGACCCCCTGAAGGGACACCTCTTTCCACCGAAGTCCCAAGCTGAAATTTGGCGCTGGCGTGGAAGCATTACTCTAACTGATGGAGTAGGCAGGCTGAGTGTGAGATAGTATCACCCAATTCTCTGATCGCAGCAATCTGGCACAATGAAATGTCCTGCTTCTTGATTCAAACCTTCATAAAGAGTATGAAAAATCAAGGTTTAAACTGAAAGCTAAATTTTGCCTTTTAACTATTAGGTCTCATTGCTTATACCTTTTGTTCATTTATAAGTGGATTCTGTCAATAACAATATACCAATATAGCAAAATTATTCACTATCCATCCAATCCCTACTAGATGTCAACTATTATGCTAGGCCTTGGAAAGAAAACAGTAATAATGACATCAAGGGCTACAATGAACCGTGAATGCTTTCCCCCCATCAAAGAATATCAGAACAGTCACTCTATGCCTTCTTACACCATTTTTCCAATCTTAAACCAAGTATATTTTGGTAGTTCAGGGTTTTTATGAAAGTTTCTTCACTGTGACTTTAGGAATTGGAGGGATGGGATATTTCTATCATTACACGGACATAATTCACTCTGTAAGGGAAACACCTTGTCTACCTGGTCACAGCCATGGCAGTCAGTCAAGCTCACTAGAGTTACACATGATGCAACAGACACATTAGAAAAGTGACGCACATTTCTTGCCATTCTACAAAAATAAGAAAACCAGTTATCATTGCAGTAACTTACTCTCATAGGAATCATAGATCACAGTTTTCAAAAATCCTGTGATTTCTCCTTGTGTTCAGCCTAAGCCACAGAAAAAGAAGGCTCCCTGTTTCAGTTTTAGGTCCCTTCTATGTCACAATTTTTGAATATCCTCCATGATTTCTCATTTCATTCACTCTAACCCATAGAGAAGAGGTCTCCGTGTTTCCAAATAGAGTTCCTTGATAAGTCACAACATTTCAAAATCCTGTGATTTCTCATTTAGTGTATCTCACAGAAAAGAGGTCTCCTTGTTTTAAGAGTTCCTTCATAAGTCACAATTTTTAAAGCTCCGTGATTTCTCCTTTATTTATTCAGTTCATTCCACAGGGAAAAAAGTTTCTTTCAGGTCTGGGCTCCTTCTTAATGCGCTGTCCCATGGAGTGTGACTCTGACTTGACCTGTGTCTATGTTCTTTAGCACTTCCAATGTTGGGAAACCCCAACTCAAGTGGCTGACTTTCCAAGTTTTTTAGTAACGCAGACTGTCCACTGTAACGCCGTTCCCACAGAGAAGCGTATTTACAAAACAGTACTTGATTTCAATATCAAATATAGTTAGCACAATATTTACAGCCAAGCTACAACATACATTTTAAATTTCCCCAGCAAAGAGCATCACCCAGAAGTTCATTGGTGTTGCCAGTTTAAATGGCCCATTTAAAATGACCCAGAAGTGGATGTTTAAAACAAACATATGCCTAAATGCAAAGTAATTAAAGGTGTGCACGGCTCAGGGACCCACGGAGAACACCAAAAGGATACAACGTCGTCCCTGAAGCCCGAGCATGACGTAGAAACTGCCGTGTCCGGGAATCGGCACCCTAGTGAGATCACATCTATTCTTCACAGCACCTCAGAACATCTCGTTTTCTGGAAATTTCTGTGTATTGGTCATTTTTATCCAAATTGAACCAAGTAAAAAATTTGGGTAGTAGTACATCATTACAAAAATTTAAAAAAATAACTCACTGCCTCAGGTAAAGTACATAGTATAAATGAACATTGGGAACCTGTTCTAATAAGATATATGGATTCACATTGTCCCTCCAATTTTTTAAGTATGTTCACCCATGCATTTGATTCCAATGGCTACTGTTAATCAGTTCTAGTTTGTTATTACAAGAAAAAATAGATCATTTTCCATTCATTTTATAAGACAACCAATTTTCTTTCAAAATTCCCTATTCATATTCATTGTTAAATATCCTATAATGTATTTCAATGTTACCCACAGCCATATGAATGAGCAGTCATATAACAGCACTTTCAGAAAATGAAGAAAACCTAGATGTTCTCTACATGTGGTGCCTATCCAAGAACATGTCAATTTCTCAGACCCAGGACTACGGAGCTAAAAAATGAAAACTGTACAACCCGCCAGGTGACTCTCACGTGCACTGGAGTTGGAGAAAAGTTTGATTTCCTCTCAGCTGCCCACACTTGTAAACCACGTGACCCATTCTAAAACCCACAGCAGGAACTGACCCTCCATGAACAGAAGACCCCGTGCTGCCTATGCAGTGACCTCAAGAAAGGACAGAGCCTCACAGGACAAAGCTGTTGGAGACAAGCACACTGAAGTTACCCTCACGGGGGCCAGCAGACGGTATTTCGGAGTCCTAACCCCCACACAGGAAGGAATTCTGATTCAGCTCTCAACGGACATGTCTCCCCTCCCATTTGGACAACACAAGGACGTGATAAATTCCCTGTAAAACCGTCTCCTTCCTTCTTCCCTTCCTGCTCCCACCACTGCGCCGCCGCCTTCTGCCAAGGCACTCCGTCCACTGCCATCACCACTAGCTCTGCTGGACCTGTTTCGCTTGGCAGCTCGGAGAGCTGCCACCATCAGCAACGAGGAAGTCGGCCTTCCCTCCTCCAAGAAACCACCACCTGATCCCCTTCCAAGGATTCGCATGTGAGGGGACTCCCTTTATGACACCTGCCCCCATGAATGGGTTTTTCTGCATGGGGCCCACCCAGCAGCTACCAGTGTCCTTTCTCCCTGCAGGAAGTGACCACTCTAGGTTGTACCAAACGGCTAAGGCCAAATGACCCTCAGGCAACACTGTACTTCAACAGGCCCCTAAAACTCAGTCCTTTCCTCTCACTCAACTGGATGCTTCTAATGTGGTTCAGGCAGAAAGGGTGGCTTCCTTCTCTCATTCATTCAGCATATTCCTGCTGCTCAGGACCCTCCACACCAAGGGAAACCAAACAAATCTCTGAGGTAGTAAGTATACAAACATTTCTGGCAGGGAAAACAGGGACTAAATAAGGTAAAAACTGTGAAAACACTAACTTACTTTAAAAAGAATGTAATTCATTGGAACCCCAACAGCTTTTCACAAGAAGCTGTTCACTCCTCACAGCATCACAACACCCACATCGTATTTACACTTCACGCGCGCGCGCACACACACACTCACTCTCTCTCTCATTAACAAATTAAGGTGACTATTTAAGGATAAGGTCTTAATACATTCAACTGTCCATGGTACCTTTTTTATACAGGCTTTTTTCTAAACACCTGTTTAATTACTATTCAACCCCCTCACAATGGCTACTATAAGCAAAGCACAAGCATCTAATCAGAGAATGTCATTCTCAGATAATAAAAGATCCGTTACTCCAGCAATGACAGATATTGAAGAATGATGAGAATAGAGAGACCCCATTTCAAAAAGGCAAAAAACCCTTCCTTGCTCTAGAGCTCAGATCCACCAATTGCCAAGTATCACTTTCACCCCCTTGAAATCAGAGCCAGAAATTCTAAATCTCCATCTGTGTCTTGCCAAGATAGAGGTGGAAACTGACTATGAATTAAAGTACTTACATTTTTAAATTCTCGTCCTAATACCAAATGAAGCAATGTCTTGACAACAAACTGGCCATTTCTCACTCATGTGGTAACTGGAACCCCTCATGGATTAGGGACATGGTCTCAGTCAACTCTGCTACAAGGTGGGAACCCACACTATCTCCCCAATCCTTACTCTCCTGAAGTTATCACTTGAAATGCACACTGAAAAAGGCAAAGGTGGGCTGTACCAATGTCACAAGCAGAGGAGATACTATATACAAAAGGAAACCAGAGCAGCGGGCCAGAACCGCCTCCCTCAACCTCACTGGGAAACCTGCAGCTCCACTCTCCCTGCACAACGCCCATGGGGAAACCTTTGAAATGACAGCCTGCAAGCGAGTGTTAGAACAGGTGTGCCCCACGTCCCCGGACGGACACTTGGGCAGGACTTCAGAGTACTCAGATTGAGCTTCACGGGGTCATGCTCAGGAAACACAGCTCATCATAAGTCAAGCCAAGGTCTTCCCAACACGAGCACACCTTGGTCAAAACACAACCACCTGCAGACTGCGCATGTCTAGTAATGCAAAGGCCCCCGGCTGAGGAGATGGAGGGGTGGATCATCTTTGGCAGCGGTATCGTTCAACTGACACAGAATTCAGGTGAAAACCCGGGGGTAAAAGCAAATGCACTGAAATACCCAGCAATCTGACAATAGCTTTGTGATCTTGAGTCTTACAAGTAGGTCAAGTAGCTCAGAATCCAGTTCCTTAAGCAAATGGTCCAACAAACTGAAAGCTGAAATAATGAAATGATAACAGACAGATATAATACCAGGAAGAAAGATGATCTCAGTTTCCTCTTTTCCAGTAACTTATTCTAATCCAACTGTAGAACCTAAACTACATTGAAAACAGCAATCAAAATATTCCAATGTGTGAAAAATCACTATGGAAGAATCGTGAGAATGGTCAACTAAAATTAAGGTAGATGAAACAGATGAAGCCAAGTCCAATGACAGGTCTATGAATGCAGACTGCATTCTGGAAGACCAAGAAGGCGGTCTAGGCTAGGGTCTATCATGCCTGATGCAAGAAACCAAAGCACTATGGTAATATAACACAACTGTTATCACTGAAACAGTACAAACTCCTTTTCCTGACATGTGTTTCCTAATAGACAGAATTACCTGTATCGGGAACCATATATTGTTACCACCGCAGGACAAGTAATCATGTACAAGAACCTTTATAAAGCACTGTACAAGTGTGTCTGACGTAATAGGATGAATTCTAACCTGTCTAGGCGATTTTGTTACCCTCATCCACTAGAAATCTGATACAACTAACTGATCTGCAACCTCAAACATGGAGTTGAGCTACGAAAAGACTTTCTTGCATCTTGTCCACCTCACCCCCTTGGAAGATTAAGTGTCCACCAAAGGAAGTAACTAACCTGGCAAGCCATCCCCCGCTAACCAACCAGTTCTCAGTCACAGCAAGGATACGCGGCGTGAGCCACATGGCCTCCAGGACTGCAACGGCGCGCCGCTGCAGGGACGTGGAGCCAGGAGCCTGTGAACCAGGTCTTCCGGCTGCAGCCTGTCCCGAGGACCCTGCGGCCCAGAGCGCCGCCGAGTACGAGAATGGAGGCACTTGAGAAGGAAAACAAAGCCACAGATGTCCCCTACACAGTCTGCCTGCACACAGTTGGCAGGTAACTCACTTCCTGAAGCCATTGATCGCCACTCACATCCAGAGCAAATGTCCTTGGAGATGCATTTGAAACACCGCTCTTCTCCTGGGCTTTCACTGTTCTCACTCAGCGGGCAAAGTCCTCTCACCCCCGTTACCTCACACGACACTTTCCGATTTCTCCTTTTTGACCTTTAATGGCCAACATGGGTCCCCCACACCTGCACTGCCTAGGAATTTCTATGGAGCTGAAAATCAAGGTAGGCCTAGATTATCATCACAGGGTCTCCACTGTAAGGAAGTGATGGTAAAGTATCTAAAGAATTGTATTCTATCATTTAAGAAACAGTAATTTCAATTAAGTATAAATGCTAAGAAACGAAGTTAGTGATACTGCCATTTCTTAACCCTTCACTGTGTCACATCCTGTACCCACTGATCTAGGGCAGGGATCCTCAACCGTTTGTAAAAAAACGTATTTCTGGGCAACCTGACTAAAAGAAAATAAAAGGTCTAGTTTTGAGTCATTCCAGAGACGGCTATCGTTGAGTCGGCTGTTGCGGTTTTTACATCTGACAAGCTACCAGGGAAGAGGCCAGGGCCCCTGACTGCAGTCAGGGATGCATGTTGAAAGCTCCTGCGGCGCCGGCGGAACACCGCTGCTCTGTGGCATGGACACCAGACAGGACGGAAAACCACAAAACAAACGGTCCTCACACACAGTGTCGGATTCCGTGTGACGGCGTTGCCCGTACTCCTTGCATTTCCACAATGTGAGATCCGCTCCTACCTGGACGACACTCAGACACCTCGCACCCTGGCGTGCAAGGTTTGATCCGAGAGGTGGTTGGTGGCCCCTCCTTTCCATCTGTCCTGGCTTCTGTCCCACTACAGATCTGGGCCTTCAGGGATCCAAGGATGAGCTTCATCTGTTGCTCTCAACACCATAAAATACATACAGAAGAAAAAAAAATTAGCTCGAAATGTCTGAAAATTTTTTAAAAGGGTGTTTGAGGAACTGGTTTGTGTGCTGGCGTCTACACCTGCCATACAGAGTACGTGAGGTTCTAACGTGTGACACCATTTTCTATTGAGAATAATGTTCCATCAAAGGTCTAGTGAGGCACATTGACTTGATTTCAGTGACATTTTAAAGCTCACAATTTGAAATCATTATGTTCAGACAAGGTCCTTTGTCATCATAAATCTAGCCAAGGCCTCTGCAACACACACTTACTTCTCTTTACAAGTTACTTTACCTGGAGTACTTTGCGTTTTTGTCCTAAATGCAGTTTATACGATTTTCAGGCTTGTTGCAACGGTACTGGGTAGGATCCACGCTGTCATGTCAGCAAATTCAGGGCTCAAACTCCCTCTTCTTTTCGGTCATCAACTATGTGGGCAAAAGGGTGATGCGTAAGATTTAAAAAGTTGTGATACAAATCACCCGTGACAACATGCTTTGCTTCATTTACTGAATATAATTCAAGTATGAGCACTATTTAAATTTATTTTATCCTAACCTGATGACCTGCTCGCTGATTGTTAGCCAGAAGGGGAGCGAGGGGGAGAAGGATGGGAACATCCTCGTAAGAGATCGGTTGCCTCTCATGTGACCCAATACAACTTTTTTTTAAAGATCAACAAAATGAAGGTTTTTTTCCTGACGTTTAAAACATGATTACTATTATAATTCTAGGCACGTGTTTTTATTATCACGTAGTTCCTTAATTGACTTGCTTGTATTATTCTACTACATGTAAAGATCTACAAGAAATAACACATCAGTTTTATTTACAAACATACAAGACTTCTGACTTCATCTGTATGTGAAATCTAAAAGTTGAACTCAAACAGTGATTGCCACAAGTGGGGGTAATGGGGAAATGTAGGTCAAGGGGTACAAATTTGTTATTATAAAATTAGTTCTAGGGATCAAATGGAGCATAGTAACTGTAGTTAATGTAGTACTAAATACAGCCGACTCAAACACGGGCTTAGGAATCTTGACCCCTTGCAAGAGTTGAAGACCATAAATAACTCACCCTCCCCGGAAACTTCACTGCCATCACCCCTGGATATCCACAAGAAATGGGATCCAATTCCCCGTGGGTACCAAAATGTGAGGATGCTCAAGTCCTTCATATAAAATGACAGAGAATGCATCCATTTGGCCTCCACATCTGCTGAAAGAAATACTGCTTTCTATCTGAGGCTGACTGAAGCTGCAGATGTGAAACCCCAAGATGCAGAGGGCTGGCTGTGCTTCTTGAAAGCAACGTGCACATGTCAGCAGACCTGCAGTTCCAACCCATGCTGTGCCAAGTCAGCGCTACCTGAAATTTGCTTAGATAGTACACTATAAATGTTCCCACCACCAAAAAAAGAAACTACGCTGATGGGTATGTTAACTAATCTTATTTGGATAACTTTTCACAACATATACTTATGTCATGTTATACATCTTAAAATTTCTATTATATCAATTATATATCTATGAAGGCAGGAAAAATTACAGGGCTTCTAAAATTGAGCATAATTACATAACTAAGAACCAATGAGTTTACAGAGGCAGGAAGCTACATCATTTTTGATATGCTTTTTATAACAAAGCCAGTTTATTAAACACAGAATACCAATAATAACTCAAAAGCAAAGGTTCAGGGCAGCCCAACTATTATATCCCAGAGTTCTCTTTGAAACTCTTCTGTAACCATAATGAAAACTTATATCGCTATCCAATGTATATAACGTGACGTTACAGTTAACGTGCCCAGGAAACCAGGAAGCCATTGCCTAACTGTGTTTACAACAAGAGCCTGGCTGGTGACTTGGTTGGTTGGAGTCCTGTCCCTTGCACCAAAAGGTTGTGGGTTTGATTCCCAGTCACGGAACATACCTAGGTTGTGGGTTTAACCCCTGATTGGGGTGTGTACGGAGGTAACTGATAACTGTTTCTCTCACATCAATGTTTCTCTTTCTCTCCCCACCCTTCCTGTTGCCTAAAAATCAGTAAAAATATCCTCAGATGAAGATTAAAAAAACAAAAACAATGCACCCCTCTGAACGTAGGATGATTTTAAGACGCTCCCAGCATTTCCTGCTGCGCTGGCATGCCCCCAAGTGCAGGCTGCAGCAGCTCAGAGCTCACAGTCACCCACAAAAGCCACAGTTCTATCTTCCACCCCTCATGGCATTACATGAACGGCTGTGTCCAGGTGCCCCTTCGTATGTGCCACAACCAACGTTCTCAGAAAGTTAAAGGACGTTCTAGGCAGAATCTCACCAATCCCACACAGCCTCTGGCAGTTAAGCACCTTCCAGGATCCCGAGTTCTTATCACCCCCCAACTTGCAAGAAGTGATCTTTAGTTAAGGAACTACAGGCATACCTCCCCTATACTGTGTTTCAATGCTGTGACTTCACAAATTGAAGACCCTCCACCAGCACAAAGATTCTGACTCACTTTGCTGGGGTGGTCTGGCAAGGAACGCGCACTATCTCACGGTTATGCCTGTGTTGGGCAAGAGGTTTTCTCCAAATGATGCATGATCAGTCAGGCCAAAATCTAAGGGCCACTCATGCCTGCAGATCTATGCGAGGAGGGCTGCTTTCCTTCCAAAAACAGAAAAATAAATGAACGCAAATTATTCGAAGGTAGTCCAGAAGGCAGGCTGCACAGAAAACAGGGCACTTTACGCAGTGTCCAGTTACATACACACACAACCTGTCATACACATCAGTCATTTTTATCTTATCTTCTAAACAAAGGAAGGCTTGGCTACTTTATATTCCTTACCTGATAGTGATCATCAACAGCAACTTTTGTCATTCTCAAAGTCCAGTGTCCTTGGGAGACATTAACTTGAAAAGCCATGATTTAAAAGGTGGAAAATATGACTGAAATACACACCTGTGCTGGAGGGGGAAAAAAAAATCAGAGATGACAAAACTGGTCTTAAGTTACTCAGGAATTAACACCGATCTATAAGCTACATCTTATAATCAGTACACCCCTTCATGCCCGCAATGAAAACTTCGCCGCAGAGGCTCAGTGTCCTCCCTTTTACAGGAATTTCACTGTTGCGTTACCATCTTGAACTGCATCTACGTATTTGGACATTGCTGTGTAACGATGTTATTTCTACCTATTTAACTAGAAGACACTACCTACTCCTCTGAACACTTCCAACATATCACTAAGTGACCCAATGGATATAATCATATTGCAGACTTTGGAGTATCAGCTATATTTTAGGGTGTGCATAACATAACTCCCCTCGAACGTGAAGTCCCGCCTCCCACACCCAGACCCTGCCATCGAAGTAAACGCGTACAGGATGTGCAGGCGAACACTCACCGTGGGCAGGAGAGACCGGTATCCCAGGACCCCGCCGTGCACTCTCAGGACACAACGCACAGAGCACCGCGTAAGCTGGTCGGTGGAGATAAAACTTCCAAGGAAGAAGCGTACCTCCTATCCCACATGCTCCGATTCCGCGACGGCCTCCTCCGACACGTGGCCTCACAAGGCCGTTCGCATCCTTGCAGCCTCCCTTCAGTGTGTCTGGCACAGTGACGTGGAGGAGCCCAGGCGTGTCTCAGCTCCACCACTCAACTGCCTGGGCCAGGTTTCCCAATGTGTCAAGGTTATTAACCAACACCAGCCAATGCAGAGTGAACATTAGGAAGCTGAAACAATTATCGCAACCATTCTCTCATAAGGATTAAAGAAAAACTTATTTAAATGTGTTGCTTGGAAAGCTTTACCTCATCCATAACAAAATACACGTAGTGTTCACTTTGACCTCAAAACCAAAAGACAAGGAAATGTACAACAGCACCTCACAGTTTAATTGCTCTATGCATTTATTAGCGAATATTAATGCTGCAGAGGGGACAGAAGCTCACAAACAACTCTACACAGTTTCACAAGACACAGTGCAGGCAAAGAGTGACTAAGGACCAACAGTATCCTAGGGTCTTGGTGGACGCATTCCTGGGGGAGGTGGACCTGGAAAATAAAGAGCAAAATTCCATGAAGTCAAAGTGCATGTGACCATCAAAGGACCTGGCTGGCCCTGCTGGGCACCTGGGAAGCCACTCACCTCTGATTCCAGGTGGAGGGGGTCTCATCCCTGGAGGAGGCATGCCTAGCGGGGTCCCCCGAGCAGGGGGAAGCCCAATCGGTGGTCCCATGGGTGGTCTCATACCAGGTGGAGGAGCCATTATGCCTATGAAAGAAAAGGGGCAGAGATGAGGACCTCACACAAAGATGACCGAACCCAAGAAAATCCTGAAAGAAATGGGCCCAGACGCCAAGTAGGGAGCTGGCCGACTTCCTCCTTGACCAGTCACCACGTAAGCCAGCTGCAACTGAAAGTCAAGCCCAAAGCCATTTAACTCAAAGCCAGTATCCAAAAGTGGCAACAGAGTCTAAGCTCCTAGTTAGGTACTGAGGCTGGGTCTTCTAGTGAGAATCTTTTCAGTCAACACTCCAAGATGCTACCATCTAGTTACAGACCCGCACCTCTAAGAACCAAACTCTTGCGCTTCCTGTTCCCCAGTTCCTTACCTGGAGGGGGGGTTGCCCGGCCCACAGGGGTGGGGGGAGTCCCCCGACCTGGTGGGTACTGAGTGGGGGCTCCAGCAATGCTGGCAGTGGCCGCCACAGCGGCAGCTGCGACGGTGCCTCGTCC